TATTATACTGCAGAATCGTCCACGAAGGGAAGCTAACAGACTCGTTCGAGTTATGACGCAAGGTTGTTCACTTTCACCCTTTCTCTTTCTCCTGGTGATCGACTGAATGGTGAGAAGAAACATAGGACATAGTGGACAACTAGGACGCAGCTGGACGACCTAGACTTCGCAGATAATCTGGCTGATCTATCGCACACGCAACAACAAACGCAAGAGAAGACGACCAGTGTAGCATTGGTAAGTCTCAAAATAAACAAAGGGGAAAGTGAAATTCTCTGATACAGCACTGAAGAGATTTCTGGGTACAAAACTGTTAGACATTTTACAGGTAGTTGAACAGTTGAACTAATAAATATTGGGTGAAAATAAACGAGTTATTCACTGATAGTCTCTTTCAATGATTACAATATGCATCGTCCATCGACAGTTACAATTAGTTTTCAAAAACGTAAACGCGAACCCACTTTAAAACAAATTATTTATGACGTGAAATATTAATGCACAAAAGTGTTAATTTCCTATCGCTGGATTTCGTTGCCTGTCTGTAAACAACAACTAAGGTATAACTGACTGTTAATCAAAACAAATAAAGACGCACTTTGATCCTGGAAGTCAGTGCTTGAGGATTAAGCTCTATAAGTACCGTGATACAGTAATCAGCAAACTACAACATAAAAATCCGTTCGTGCGCCAATCGGTTCAGGTTACCATACCATATCATCATAGAGACGCAACTGTCAGTTCATATCTGATAGTAACAGAGGTTGAAGAAATATTAGCGGTATTAGATATTACGGCTAGAAGATGTTATTCAAGAAGTATAATCCAGTGAGATAACTTTAGAAAGAGAAAGAGGTCATAAGGAATTTAGAAGTTTAAAATCTCAGAGAACACAAAGAGCGTATTCATCTGCGCCTTTACAGAGATTATGAACCATGTCGTTCAAGGTCCCTAACCATTGGTGATTTTGTCTCACGGACAAAAACCAGGTAGTCTGCATCTACCAACATGACTCAATCCGCTTGTCAGTGACTTCATGGATTTGTGCCATGTTTTGGTTTGGTCGCCCCTAACTTTCTTTCAACCTACTCCTACACCACGAAACATCGCTCGTCAGCGCAGTCAATAGTTTGGCATTCGTAACACATATCCCAACCACCTCAACTGGTGAAGATTCTTTATTTCGGCAATCGATTTAAAAGCCTTATCTAGTGCCCGTATCCTGAGAACTGGATTGCTTGCTTGATATTCCCATGATGGACGAGAAATGAGTCGCGGACTTCTACGATCGAATACTGATAGCTTACGAATATCCTCTGATCTTACTAGCCACCTTTCATAGTTATACATAAGAACGGAGCCAAATGCTTCACAGTGTACTCGTCTGTTGGTTAGCAAACGAATATCCCTCCTACACCACAAGTGATGCAAATTGGCAAAAGCCAATCGAGCCTTCCGTCACAGTGCTCAGAATTAGTCAGCCTCTAGGCCACAGCACTGATCAGACTCTGGATATGAGTGAAGCAGTCAACACGTCGTAGTGCCTCACTCCCTATCACTAGTTCGGGTGCTGATGCAATCCATTCCTGAAGCAACATCTTGTATTTCGACAGGAAGAATCACATGCCGAACATGCTTGCATTGCTGTTTAGGGTGACCAGAAGACTTTGCATTTTATAAACGTCTTCACCAAACGGAATTATGTCATCGGCTAAGTCAAAATTGAATCTGATAGAAGAGGGTCACTTATCAAATGATAAGTGTTGTTACTAAGAGCATGTCACAGTCTTTACCGAAAAGAAATATGTCATCAGCAAACTCGAAGTCAAAAAGCGTGTTTCCTGGTGAAAGGTTCACTCCTGAAAAATTCAGACGAAGATAAAGTTAACTCTAAAAGCCTGTCTACGACAAAGTTGAACAAGAATGGAGAATATGGACAGCTCTGACGGACACCACTTGAAGTAATCAATTCTGATAGCAGTTCGCCCTAAGCTCTCACTTCTACAATGCTTATCAAGGAGGTATAAGGTTAATGTCCTTTTTTGGCATACATTTCAATGGGAGACACTGTCACATGACCTAAAGACAGACAGGTCGAGAAATACTACTCATTTGGGACGTCTGAATGTGTGTTTATGTTCGGTGACCTGATATAGTATGAACATCTGGTCTATACATCCAGTTCAGAAACCGGCCTCGTTTTCTCTAGACTGCTCTTCACGAGCTGCAGTCAGGCATCTAAGTATTATCGAGGCTAACAATTTAAATACTATATTTGGTAAACTGATTCCTCTTTGATTGTCACAAGAGTACTTTTGTCCTTTCTTAAAAATTGGGACAATCAATGATTGAGACCAGTTGGATGGGATTTCGTCCAGTTCCCAGATTCTACCTAAGATCTCAGCCAATCTCGCAGATTAAACTGGACCACCATCCCTAAAATTTCAGGAGTAATCCTATCAGGCCCTGCTGCTGTACCTCGCTTCAGATTTGCTATAGCTTTTTGACTTAATAAAGGCTCGGAGGACCTACGTCGATTTTCCATTCAGGTTGACTGAAGATCATGGGTAACCTAAGTGTGGCTGAGTGCCGATTGAACTTGCAGTGAGTCATTCAGTTTCCAGCTCACATGACTTGTCTCAATCGTCTTTTGACCTGGACACTTATTCGTCGATTGTATTCATGTGTGTGCATGCCTACTCTCTTACTACATTTGTTATCTGACAATCATGCTTTATCTCTCGGAGTTGGCTCACTAAATTTCTCCACTTCACTTCATCCATTCGCTCGCTTGCTTTCCGGCGCTCGTATGACTGTTTTATCTTTGAGTGCTTGTAGTCTGTTGATATAATTGTGGTGCGCCAAAATAAACGTATTAAATAATTCGAGTTCACCTTCTGATTTATAAACCGTCAGACGCTATTTAGTAACTTGTCTGGAAGAGCTAACTACGAAACCTAAGAACACGTTGGATACCAACCATCGCGAAACTAGTGATAATTTGCACATCCCTAAAGTATTCTGCCCATAGATCGAATCTCCTGAACCAAGAATGAATGATACGACCGTCATTTTTCAAAGTAGTTTCGCCAACAGTTAGATACCTAGTACTAGTTTCCTTGATAACTCGGAACATTTGTTTACTGTTACTTAAAACCTGTCTTTTCCATTTCTTTTGCTTTCGCTACTGACCATTGTTCGTGATCATTGCATAGATTTCTTATTAGCCTGCGCTTAAACCGACTTCGCTCTTCGTGATGATCACGATCAGTTGGGATGAATTTCTGAGCATCTACCAGTTCGGCAATTGCTAATGAGATTAAACACTTCTCCAGAACCTTTTTGTCTACCTTACTAGAAGATATCACTGCTGATTCCACAGCCTTTCGGATATCATTCCAACCTCCCTCAGGGTGGGCATCACTTACGATATGGCTGCCTGTCTTTCCAGTTACTCCTGAAATATATTCTTAGACGTGCTTTGATTAAATAGAGCCCTAAGAGGTTTTCTTGCGATGTCTTCCCTACGCCTGGCAAGCCGCTGGCAAATACATGCTCACACTCGAGCGTGATCTGGATCTAAACGAGTGTTCCGGAGTGAGTGGCAGTCTTCAATAGAACCTTTCCATCAATGGCTGATAGTAATGTGATTTAGTTCGGTCCATTATTTGGTCGGCTTCGGATGTCACCAGGTAAAAAGATATTTTCCTTATGCTTAAAATTAGTGTTTGCTAGAAATAGGAGGTTATCTGAGCATAGTTGCAACAGACGGTCACCATAGTCTGTTCTCTGAGCCGCGACACTAAGATCCACCCAGGTGTCTTTCCTTTACACCTAGTCTACCTACTTGAGCATTAAAGTCACCAACCATTATTACTATGTCAGAGTGTCTAACTTTTTGGAGGAGGTCCATAAGCTTTCTGTAGAACTCATCTTTTACATAGTCTGGACTGCAGTCAGTGGGAGCGTAGACAGACACGACGAAGAGGCAACGGCGAGTGTCCCTATCTTCCCGAGTCCTTACCATCCCGTCTATTCACAAGCGACTATCTACAAGGATGCATTCTAAGAGCTAGTGCTACCCTAGGACTCAGTGCTATACGTACACGCAAGTGCAGCGCTCCAGGTTGAATTATCAGACAAGGTATAAGAAATTATATCTAAACCGGATGCAGGCTGTGATAAAACCCGTTTCGTTAACCGGCCAACAAGTTGTCGTGCAGCTTCTCAAGCAGGTGCAATAGCTGATGAAACTCCATCACAGCAAGACAATATCATAAGCATAACAAGGGACAGAAAGGCAGACAGTCGGATATTCTATCAGTTATGGCTGCGTCGATTATTTCTGATTGTGCGGAAAATCCTTGAGGTTCTGGATAGTGATGCCGACATAGCTGATAGGATATATGGGACAATGAAGTACACGAGTACGCAAACGCAAAACTCCAGTGTGGACGATAGAATCATCACGTTACAAAAGAGCTTGATATTTTATGCCAAAAGATGACGACCCTAATTCGGAACGACAGAAGCCGATCAAGCTCTAGACGCTCAACTTGTACGATATGCCAGTTCCACGAGACCTACGGCGACTAAAAATTAGTACTAAGAATCGATTTCTTCCGTTGTTGGTAACGGCTACGATAGTTGGCGTAGCTTCTAAAAACAGTCGTTTATTTTACGTCCAGGACAGAATAACTGGTGCCCGATTCTTAGAAGGCACAAGAGAATCCTAGTCACTGGCCAGTGTCCCACGAGCGGTAGCAGACGTTAGTAGACGATTTCATCTGATCTTTTATAACCATATTCTATTAGGCGATATGAACAATAGTACTTTTTTTCCATCATAACTACTTACATCTCTACGTGCTGCAGACTAATAAACATTTATACTAGCAACTACGTCGTTCAGGATCTGCTGGTATAATGCATTTGAAGATAATCTTTCTAATTCTCTGTCACTTTATTCGATTATGTACATTCAAATGATATTGACAGAACTCTAATTTTGACCTGAATTCAGTGAAAAAAAATATATTTCCTATAATAAAAGGTATTTAATAAAAACGATCCATTTACAAAAAAGTGATATTTATGGAATTTTCAAAGAAATAAATAAATTGTACAACAGTATGGAAGAGACATTCAATAACAAAAATGTTATCCAGAAACAAATTTTATTGACGGGATGTGAGAAAGAGATCATAAAAAGGGAACACACATGCCATCATAATTCCACTTTTAAATCGTCGAAGTCTTGTTCTTCAATAGGCTGAAACGTAAACGAAAATAGTCGATAAAAGCGCTAACTATATGTATGATGATCTGAGAAAAAAGAGACAACATATATAAGCTTGTACGTGTTGCTTTAATTTTCGCAATGGGATCTTTAATACAGTAAAATAGAGAAAGACTTGAAATAACAGAATTTTAAGAATTTAGCGTCTTTTAGCTTTGTTAATGATGTGTGAATAATCCAACCAATGAATATTTGAATGAAAATAAACGTGTTATTTGTTGATGTCTCAAATAATGAATACAGTTTCCTATACTACAAGTCTTGCAATTACAGTTCTAATATTGTTAATCTGGATATGATCTCTACCAATAATCGCAATATGTATCGTCCATTGTTAATGACAATTAGTGTGCAACAAGATAAACGCCAAACTACTTTTAAATTAATTCTGTGATTGCATTAACTCAATAATATACACAATAATGTGACTTTCCTGTTCACGGATTCCCATGCTTGACTTTAAGCCACATCTAAAGTATAAAGGTCAGCTAATCAACACAAATAATGTGAGACGCATTTCGATCCTGGGAGTCGGTGTTTGGAGATTGAGCGCTTCAACTACCGAACTACCATCAATGAGTGAATTGAATGATCAAATACTGCTGTAAAATGACAGCTACTATAATAAAATGTTTACCAAACTTAATTTGTAAAAACATGAAAGTACAACCAAGTCATTTCGTAACACATATACAATTAGATACAGATATTAGTTTGACTACGGTCAATTAGGCGTTTCTTCAGATCATTGGACAGGAAAATTTGAAAAGAAATAAGTTTTATGTCTACTTCTCGGGAGAAAAGCACTATTGCAAAGTTTATTCTTTTATATTCGTACTTGACAGCGGTTTTCACCGCTGAACTGCCGTTGAGTACTGCTTCTTAGATTTATCTATTGACACAAGATCCCGTTTCATGTAAGAAATATTTCTTCTGTCATATTAACTTTCTAACGAAATATTGAAAGAAACATGCACAGTTTGATTGAAATGACGCAAGTATTCCGAATAGAAAGGTAATAAGTGAATATAATCAACAAATGAACCAAATAACACAAAAAAAACCATGGATTTTGGTTAGGAGAATGGACTTACCTGAGCATCTTTTCCATCCCAGGCTTCAACAGTTTTTAGTTCAGGTAACGAATCCACATCAAACAGAGGAAGAGTAGCACCGCCGACTGAGAGCTGTCTTAAAAAATCATGGACACCAGTTGAGCTGTAAGCACCTCGAAGAGTAGTCCTTTTCTTTTTGCGCCCATGTACAGCGACCATGGCCTAACAAAGAACGAAAAAAGTTATTCCAGTGAGTTTGTACAATGTCGCAAGTAGATACATTTGATGTTATGGTTAATAGACGAGGGTAAGTGAACACCAATAAACGTTTGCAGGATGTTTTACACAATGTCTATAAAATATGTTGTACCTAATAACCTCTAAAAACCACATCTTTGATGCGCGTTTACTTATATAACGAAATTTAAAAGTATTTCACAGCAGTCCTTTTCAAATCCTGAGTTCACACATATATAAAATTTTTGAGCGGAACGATTTAAATACAAGGTAACAATCGCTAGAAGCTATTTTTCAAGGGTCGGTACAGGATTGATCCCTACAAAATCTTTTATTCGGTTTAAAAACACTACTCGGTACTAAAAGGAGATCGATGTTCCTTTAATTCTCACGCTTACTGTGATCGCCTTTGTTTTATATATTGATGAGGTGTCTTTTTATCCAGTCTGTTGGTACTTGCTCAAGTGAGCACAGTGTCGCTCCAGTTAGCGCGATGTCTGCATGAAGCTATTATTGTGGGTGGGTCAACATCAACTGAGAAGTCCGTGTGTGGTGCTTCGATGTTGTGCAACTTCAGTCAGGCTAGTCGATTCTAGAGTTCGTCATAGTGCTCTACCCACCTGTTTCGCCGTTCTTTAATGTCAGTAATCGCCTTGCTCTTCACTGGTCGTTCTGGTTTACGATATTTTCCAGCAAGCTTTTTCGTTGTATCGTATAGTTGCTTCAGATTCCCCTCTCTTGCAGAGGCTTCTATTTCTGCTGTTTCTTCTACATATTTATGATTATAATCTCCAATGTTGCTATTCGCTGGCTTGTTTTCGTTTGTGTATTCAAGTTGTACCTTAGCTTTCTTTTTTTCATGTTCCGCCTTTTCTGCATTATCTTGCGACACGAAACCTTTTGACATGTTGAAATTAATGTTTCAATGAAAACGATATGTATTCTATGATAAAAAACCTCATATCTAAAACCTGAATTAGACATTAGTTGTAAACCGTTATGTAACTGAAATGGTAATTTAATGAGTTAGTACTATGATAAGAGTTGCAGTACAAATCTCTGTTTTTTGTTCAAAAATAAAGTGTATCAGTTGAAGTTGTACTTGATCAATTGATACCGTACAACACGTTTTTTGAAAATGAGTAACCATAAACGCCTGCTTTGTCTCGTTGCATAAATCTAAACAATCACAAAATCGAATGGCTTTGTACTCACTGTAAAAATTAGTTAAAACATACCCTCCTAAAGTCATGAACGTATATTTACGTAAGTATACCTATGCAACAGCTAGAGGTTATGATGAAGCTTAAGCAGACCTATGATACTAGAAAACAAATACAAACTGACAGAAACTATACACACTAAGTAAACTCAACGATAAACTCAATAAACAAACAGAGATATATTTAACAAGTATAATAAGTAATATGTCTAGTGCAGTAAATGACAATTATAATATTCGACTATAAAAAGAAGTGATAAGAACAAAAGATTATTAAACATGAAGAGATGAACAGTCAACAATTGATAAGTTAATATGCTTAATTCAAAAAAGTGGAATTACGACAAAGTAAAACAAACTAATGAGTACGATAATCAGAGAATATTTTTAAGGCAACATTTATTAGAGTTAGACAGCTGACCAAACGATGAAATTAACAATATAATCGATGATAAATTTCAACTTACAGGATATCCTGAACCACCAATATCTAGTTTCTTTTCTAATTCAGGATGTTTCAGAGCTTCAGTCCAAATCCATCTAGACAAAGAAGTATACAGTGAGACTGAATTGACAACCTTAGTATGATGAATGAGTTTTATTATTTAAGCAATAAACTGTAGACTGCGCTGTATTCGAAGTAGTCAAGAAGAAGAAGTCAACCTGATAACCGTGATAAACATATAGATATGTAAAAAAACAGAGGATGAGTTTTCAATTCTCTATGTTGAATATAAAAATAGGACTAGGAGGAAAGATCAAAATAAGTAAGAAAAGCAAAAATATAGAGCACACGAAAAACAGGACTGTAAGGAATATGCTTCTACACGCATGCCTTACAAGCATCTGCAGCGATGTTGCCTTCTCACAAGGAATGAATAGGTTAGAAAAGGTCGACCCTAAAAGTGTCATACCTCTCATTACCTCACGCATTTCCGTCTCCGGCGGTAAGGCTTTTTAAACAAGAGCGGAGCTATCACCTTAAAAAGGCCATGCGTGACCGGCCTCAAGCAGTTGTCCCTTGGACTCTGCAGTCACGCTCTTCAAGAAAGACCCTTCCATGGTGTGGGCAGCCGGAAAGTGACATCCGCACTCATGCGCGTAACAGCACACGAGACCGAACTGTTCATAATCAAATTCATCCTACACCTCCTAATAACTTTTATCTCCACAAATAACTCTTCTCACATTCTTTTATTACCGATTGTGGTTCATGAAACGTTATTCCTGGTATCCTTGAACCCCGCTCTAGACTACATGTTGGAGCATTTAATGTATGAATACTGTCTCAAATAGGTCAACAGGCTTCCTTAGCTAGGACATTAGAATCTCGCGCTATCGATGTATGCTGAGATTCGGAAACGCGCATACAGGATCCGAGTAGCCTTATTCACTTCACCTCACCATTTCAAGATAAAGAAGCAACTTGATTCACTCTTCGTGTATCTGGAACTACTGGTGCTGCTTCCCAGGGTCCCGCAGGTGTAGGTATCGCATTGAGTCGTAGAGCAGAACTAGCGCAACTACACTGGATCCCAGTGGATAGTCGCTTGTGCGCTGTCCGACTGAACGGGACAGTAAGGTGTCGGAAAGATAGGGACACCCGTCGTTGCTTCTTCATTGTATCTGCCTACGCCCCCACTGACTGCAGTCCAGACTATATAAAAGATGAGTTCTACAGAAAGCTTATGGACCTCCTCCAAAAAGTTAGACACTCTGACATAGTAATAATGGTTGGTGACTTTAATGCTCAAGTAGGTAGACTAGGTGTAAAGGAAAGACACCTGGGTGGATCTTAGTGTCGCGGCTCAGAGAACAGACTATGGCCACCGTCTCTTGCAACTATGCTCAGATAACCGCCTACTACTAGCGAACACTAACTTGAAGCACTTTAACCACTACGTCAGGTTCCAGAACATAGATACTCGTTCAGACGCCCCACAATAGTAGTATTTCTCGAACTTAAGGCTGCATTTGACTCTGCTAATCGTGAGGTTCTGAGAGAACACAAAGAATGAATGCATCTGCGCCACTGCAAACGGTTTTGAGCCATGTCATTCGGGGTCTCTAACCGTCGATTACTAACATTTCACGTACCCCAACCTGCGTCACTTATGGCGTAGGCGAGATATCCGTTTGCTGACTGAAGTGTACTTCACAGTAGTTCACTCTGTCCTACTTTATGGATGCGAAACATTGCCAGAGTAGAAGATTTTCGTAAGTTACTGGTTCTCGATCATATGTGTCTTCGAAGCATTGCTCGTATATCCTGGAACAACCGAGTGAGCATTGCTGTTATTAGGAAACGGGTCCTAGGTAAAGATGGCAGATCAGTAGATGAAGTAATGAAACTTCATCAGCTGAGGTGGTTAGGACATGTGTTGCGTATGCCTCACCACGGACTGTCTCGTCGAGCTTTATTTTGCGGTGTAGGGATAGGTTGGGAGAAAACTAGGGGCGACCAAACCAAAACATGGCACAAATCCATGAAGTCACTGACAAGCGGATTGAGTCATGTTGATAGATGCAGACTACCTGATTGTTGTCCGTGAGACGAAAGTCACCAAATGTAAGAGACATTGAACGACATGGTTCATAATCTCTGTAAAGGCGCAGGTGCATTCACTCTTTTTGTTCTCATCTTCGATCCACAATATTCTTCATTACCGCTAATTCTTCTACTAACTCCACCACTATAGGATTCGGAAAGACAAATGCGTCACTGTGCTAATGCGGTATGTCAACCAGAACTTATGTACTTACGTACGAAGTTCTACGTTGTAATTGACTGAGTGACTGACTGACTGAAATAGGAATAGCTGAAAGATCAACAGACTTTACTGAAAGAAGTTCGAACATTTCCTACTAATTTGCATACAGAACAAAATTATTCTAAATAAGTAAATTATCGTGGATATAGCATACTAAAATAAAATGACTTTCAATCTCCACAAAAATTGACAAAATTCATAATTTAACACTCACCCCCATTTCTGTTTTTTAAATTTATCTGCCTCTGTTTTCAGTAAATCCAAGTACTTCTTACGACAATCTGACTGACAATCGAATAACATGGGGAAAACACTGATGATGCACAGTGGATGATTTTCACAAGCCTCTTTCAAAATACTTCCTGAAGTTAATTCTACAATCTCTGGTGCTGGAGCAGAAGCATCTGCTTTTTCAATGGCCCATGCAACGATTGCTTCTGAACTTCGAGCACCGTCGTAATCAATAGGGTCGTCTGTTTTTGGTCCAGCAGGGAAAAATTTGATAGTAGGGTAACCTCGAATCTAAACCAGAAAAAACATAGAACTTTAAATGATGTATTCAGGTGATCAAGTATATTTGTGTTAAATACACCGATAACACGTCTACATTCGTCGAAACCGTAATAAATGAAATAATTAAACATGATTGTAAAATCCGACTTAATTAAAACTCTACTAGCTTAGTCTTTACTTAAACAGCAATATTTACTTATTTTATGTAATCTAATTTACATGACTATTGTCAACATTCACAAAGAAATTTGAGAAACTTCAGTCTTAATGATAACAATAGATCCCTTGAATGACAAGCTACATTCCAAACTATCGAATGTCCATTTGCTGTTTTATAAGCCAATATATTAAAATTCAGTTTAGCTATCATTATTTTTAGAAAACTAGAAGCTAGATTGTTGTAAATTCGACTTCAGCATTACTATATAAGATTTTTAGTTGTCATAACCTGTTTATCTACTGACCGAAATAATTTGATAATGTTTTATGCGATTTCAGAGGCAAATCATTTAAGCAGTTCGTTATGCATAAGTAAATCATGCATCATGAAGCCTTGTTCAGTTTGTCTGAGGCTATTGGGAGAAATAAAAATCAGTGCTAATATTACACATCGCACGCCGAACGGAACCCAAGATTTTCAGTCTCGCGCACTAAGGCTTGATATCTAGACCCCGGAGCCGTCATTCAACGATGTTAATGTCTAACTTCGATCAATCTACGATAGTGAGTGACCTGATCCATCATCTTCAGTGGGCAACTGCATCACACTTAGTACAGTTGATCTCTATTGGTCCCATAATAAGACCAAACGGCCATTCAGTACTCCCAGGTTTCTAACAGTGGTCTAACACTCATCCATTCACGATTTCAATGAGACTAATTTATTAGTCTGAAACTTCTTATCAGTCTGTATATGAGATCGAACACAGCACCTTTCTGTTTTGTGGCAAACACAATATTGTTCAGCCTGTTAGAATGTGATGGTCCACATTTTCACATGCTATTACTTTCATGGAATTGTGTAATAGTTACCAGTGTTGCGAAACACATTCGAGTGATACTCTGTCTAGCCTTCACAGAAAACATGGCTTAAATCTCAGTATACGAACTTGCAGTTGGCGTTTGAGTTGCGTTAAACTGAACTAAAAAAATAAACCATACACAATAGGAATTAAGGCAATATTGTTTCTGAAATATTACACACCAGTGAAAGTCCTTTAAATAGCTTTGAAAGCAAAAGAACTTTATAAAGCGTTTTCCTAAATACGTAGAAATTTATACAGCTGAAACACAAAAGGTAATGGTTACTTTTTTTGTAACTTAGAATGCCCCAAAAGCAAGCCGATAACAAGTTTTAATTCTGCATGGACTTTACTTACCCCATATTTCTGAGCCATTTGAGTATGAACTGTGGCATCTAAAGCAGCCACTTTAACGGTCCCTTTCAATTCACGAGCTGCTTTGTCCCATTGAGGTTTTAAATTTTTACCTATCCAGAAAAAAATACAACGAAATTATAGTAAGTTGCAGTGAAATGATGATTGAAGAAGTTATGAATGGCTTCATAAAAGAGTTATAAAATATAGAACTTGCAAATAAATTACTTAGTTTCGTGATCATTATCTATCAACAAGAGTAAATAAGTTTTTGAGTATAGTGAACAGCATATAAATAAATAGCAAGAAAAATAGGATACCATAAAGAAGACCCAAGTCCTTTGAAACAGTACATACACTCGTTAGTACTAGTTACCTAGAAAAACAGATCCGATTTAATCAATACCTTACTAGATCAACAACATTTCGAACTGCATGAGACGGAATTTCACCCACAATCTTTGGCTGAACAATATACCTAGAACGAACGATAAGATTCGTTTTCATCGGTCATAATACAACTGAATTCGACTTTATCAAGATCAACGAGAGTTTGGTTCAAATTAATCAATATGATTATTAAAGTTAGATTAATCGATTTCATTAAGAACAGGTTTAACATAATGAAATAATAAAACGTCATCGAAAACAGGAAGCTTTCATAACAAATGGACAAACAGTGAAGAGGTGACACACAACTATTACTTTATATTTGGACTCATCTGTCACTTTCCCATAAGGCTTAGCTCTCTCTTAGCGACTAATCGTATAAAGACGTGATTTCGATTGGTAAGAATGCTTTATGAATAGTTTATGCTGAAAATAATAAAATATTCATGGATGATGAGATAAGCAAAATTTTAATCCAGAGCTTTTGTCATTTTGTGGCGTTTCGTTATCTGAGCTGGATATTTTGGTTGTGAGGCTTTCATGTTCTTCTGAACAACACACTAGAGAACACTAGAGAATTTTTAGAAGCTTGGCACTAAGGTCAATCGGTAATCAACAAACACATAGACATTGACCCAATTTATCAACCAATCAGGAAAATCATAGGCGACGTAGGATCAAGAAACAGATCAAAAGGAGGATACAATCAAAACAAAGATGAAAACCACGGGTTCAAGGTCAACAGCAACCAATCAAGACCTAGGTTAGCAGAACAAGCTACAGGTCAAACGCGGAGAAATTCGAATACTTCACTTCCATCTGAAGTTTGTGCTGATGGTGCTGTTCAGAAGAACAATGAAGGCACCATGACCAAAACATCCAGCTCAGAGAATGAAACACCACCACAATCATCCACCTGAGCTACAAATTTTCTCCACCACCTCAGATATCATATTCGTCTGAAATATAAACTGAGGTGAAATGAACGATCTAATCTTCAACGATGTATTTACTTTCAAGGTTCAAATTTACACAAATAAAATTCTCGCTAATCGATTGAAACTAGTGTCACCAACATGACAAGTATATGATCAACACAACTCAACTTTGAGATACACAACGTGTTAGGCTTGATTAAAATAGTAAACTGACCACAATGGGCTCAAATAGACCATCTTAAACACGGGTGGAGCGGCTGGATTAGAGACTGCCACTCAATCTGTTGTAAACGTTTAGACTCTGGTTGTATTTTAGCTGCATCTGCTGACCAGAAAAACGCACAGAAACTCATCCAGTCTGATTCTAAACACGAAGAGAAGCGCTGGAAGACTAGAGACTGATAAGAAGTCTACACAATGATTGTGAAAAATTGTTGGTATCGAAAGTAAAAGAGAGAACAAACAGCAGCGATAGGCAGATAAATGTTCAGACCCGAATGAGGAATCCGACTGTTAGCATGACTATTTCGGAAAAGGATGAAACTATTATTCACACTCATTCCAGGTGAGTAAATCTATGGACAGAACACTTCAGGGAGCAGTTCAAATGGCACTCAGCCACACTTCGGTTACCAACAATCTCCAGTCGACCTGAATGGCAGGTCCGTCGACTCTCTATGAGGGTGAAAAGTCTATAGGAAAGCTGAAGCGAAAAAGAGTAGTAGGTCTTGATAAATTAACCCATGAGAATTTCAGTGACGGTGGTCAAGTTTTAGCAGTTAGATTAACTGAGATCTTAGGTAGAATTTGAGAACTGGGTGTAATCCCATCTGACTGGTTTCAATACCGGATTGTCTAAGTCTACGAAACCGAACAAAAGTCCTCTTGTGACAATCGCAGAGGAATCAGTCTAGCTAATAGTGTCTAAATTGTTAGCCTCAGTTATACTTAGACGTCTAACTAGAGCTCGTGTGGAGCAGACCAGAGAAAAACAGGCTGGTTTTCGACGTGGACGTGGCTGTATCGACCACATATTCACATTAAGACAGGTCCTGGAACACGCATATAGGCGTCCGACAATAGTCGTGTTCCCTCACCTTAAGGCGGAATTCGACCCAGTCGATCATGAGGTTCTGTGGCTGTGTCTCTTATTGAAAGGAATACAAAAGAAGTACTTTTATGACAATCACAGGTGTAAAAGTTCGACTAATATAGAGTCTTTATTGGAATACTACTAGTTGAGTGAGGAATTATGGCGAACTCTCATTGGAATCGATTGCCTTGAGTGATATTCGTCAGGGCTATTCACTCTGTACATTCTAACTCAACTTTGTCATTGACAAGCTTTTAGAGATGACACTGTCATCAATGCTAGCAAGTTTATGATACGATTCCATCCTCCGAAATGCAAGTTTTCGCTTCAGCATTGACTTGCGACTGTACCGGAACTAGTTGAGCGTTTCCACAGCACTTGGTGTGAAACATAGCCCTTACGAACAGAGGAAATTCGTCGGGTACTGGTATTCGATTACAGATTACATTAATCGTATATCCTAGAACCCCGAGTGGGCGAATCCTGCATTCGGAATAGACTACTAGGTAAAGATCGCAAATCAATTCTTAAAGTAGTGAATTTTTTTTCAGTTGAGTACGTTAGGACATGTGTTAAATAGGCCTAATCAACGACTACCTCGATGAGCAGTGTTTTGTGATGTAGGAATAGGTTGGCGGAATGCTAGGTGCGGCCAGACCAAAACATGGTACAAGTTCATGAAGCCACTAACAACTGGAGTGAGCCATGCTGGTAGGTGTAGACTGCCTGGTTGTGGAGTCACGATAACCATAATCAGTAGTTGGAGACTGTGAATGACATGGATAGGAACAATTTGCAATCCCTTAAATGCATTCATTCTTTTCTTCAGCCAAATTTTAAACCTCCAAAATAGCCATAATTTTCGTCTCACTGATTTACATTTTCGTGAATTGTATCTTCGATGTTTAATCTTTCCTATTACCACCGAAAATGTTACTTCATCTTCCAACCTGCGACTTGGTCTGACAATTTCATCTGTTTCCGCTAATGTTTTGTGGGGACTTGGACTGATATATATACGCACCAAGTTTTATGTTACAACTGACTAAATAAGCTGAGTATTGGGTCCCAACTGTTTAACCAAACACTCTTAAAATCACCTTATACCTCAAAGATAACAATGATATTCAGCTCTATAATTGAACCTATCTTTATGGACATATTGGAGTTTTGCACATTGAAATTATGGAAATAATGATGAATTAACAATTTATTAGCAAAAATAAAAGTCTTTACTTACAATGTCCACACCAAGGGGCGAAAAATTCTACCAACCATGGCTCCTGACTGTTGAGAACCTTCGCATCAAAATTGCTGTCTGTAAGCTCTATTACATCACCGATGTCAGAGTCACCCTGAAAGTGAAAAAACATTGGCAGTTATATAAAAATCCAAATACAAAATACAGATGATATCTCGGCAAGTTTATCACAAAAATGATCAAAGTAAGTCAATGGGACGTAAATTACCGACACCATTATCTAAATTTTACAAGTAAAATTGAATTAATTACTGTCTAAATTATACAACTTATCATGACCAAGCACAAAGGTAACATTTTTCACCCATGCTTCACACACATTTCGAGTAGATGACGAGTCCAAATTGAGCTGATATAATAAATAACATAACATAAGCTGTTGCAAGTCACTTTTACAAATCACACTTTAAAGAAGAAACTGTCAGGTACAGTCAATCTTACTGAATATAGCACGACCAAGTCATCACGATAGAAAAGTCTAAAAACGACGTCAAGAAAGCAACTCGAAATCAGTCTTCCTTTATCACCACGACATCATGTTATACACTGACCACCTCTCTGCTTTCTCCAAACAGTCCTAGTGTTGACAAACAATGCGCGGCGCTCGTAGTATGTCGGAGCTAACGACGTCGGTGTTTAAAATCGGGACACCAACTGGATTATCGTCTCTTTGGCCTCGAACACACATTGAAGAACCTCTGCATCACTAACGTAGTGTTGTCATTGAATGCCAGATTCTTTCACAGACAACGGCGAACGGACATCTTCAGGTTTCACAAACGTAGAGAAAAACTACGCTGTAGACCGAACCTTTAACAACAAGGTCATCACAACCGTGATAAAGAAGGATCAGATCGAAATGTCGCTCTGACTTTCACTGCATGTAGGTCGATTTCATCATTCTTACCACCACCTGCACTTGCACAACTATCCAGATATTCGAACTCGACTACTTCTTTCCGCTCACTACCAAGATTGAGTGCAGGTCTAGGGTCTCGCAAGTCTTGTAAAAGCCCTTCGCAGTCAGAAGGTGAAGAGCACATTTCATACTTACGGACACTGCTTAAGTGCAAATTGCATGGCTTGGGAATCATTGCACCGTAAGACAATATTACTGACAGACTCAGGGTCGGAAAGTCCTTCTCCAGGTAACAGATCCACACCAGCACTACCTACATCCATCAGAGCTGCTTTCAGAACATAATGAATGGCGAAATTGAATAGGAGTGGCGAGACTGGATCTAACTCTGCTTAACCCCAATGATTTAATGAAGCAATGAAGAGAGGTGGTTGTCTGACCTCACTGTGTTTGATACGTTTTTATATAGGGCTCTAAACACGTTGACAAACTTCAGACACACCCTTTTTCAATAAACAATCCGGAGAACAGTCCTCTCTAACTAATCGAAGATGGTCCGGAATTCGAGAAACACAACCCCGACCGTGGCTGCTACCTTGACGTGGTGGTCCGGCTTGCCTATCGTGATGAACCAAACGATCTATACTGGCTGCAACATATGTTCCTGCAGGTTCTACCATGCCAGGCAGGTCGATTGGAGAACGATGAGACTAAAAGCAGCTACCCAAGGTCTGAGGGCGAAGTCGTAATGCTGACTGCAGAGGGGTGTGACAGCAGTAAGGTGTTTCCCTCGGACAACCAGCATCTGCAGCGATGCTGCCTTCTCACAAGGAAAGAAGGGTTAAAAAAGGTCGGCCCTAAAAATGTCACACCTCCCCTACCTCACGGATTTCCGACTCCTTGGGTAAGGGTGCCCACTAAGGGCCTTTAAGAACGGAGCTAATCCTCTAAATACCTTTCATAAAAAGGCCGTGCGTGACCGGCCTCAAGCAGTAGTCCCCTGGGCTCTGCGGTCACGCACCAACACTAATCCATCTTCCTTTTCAGGTCCCTCAAGAAACAACCTTACACGGTGTGGGCAGCCGGGAAGTGACAACCGCCCTCATACCCGTAACAGTACACGAGATCAAATTGGTCAAAATCAAATCCTTCCTACACCCCCTAATGTCTCTCTTATCTCTACGACCAACTCTACTCACACTCCCTTTTCTCACTGCACCTCTAATGCAGACGAAGCGAGATCACGAAACGTCGCTCCTGGTCTCTTGAAACCCCGTTCTAGACTACATGTTAGAGCTTTTAATGTACGGACATTGTGTCAAATAGGGCAACAGGCTTCCTTAGCTAGGACTTTAGAAACTCGTGCCGTCGATGTATGCTGCGTCTCGGAAACGCACATGCAGGATCCTAGTAAAGTCATTAACCTGATTCCACCTTGTCAAAACGAAGAAGCAGCCCGAATTACTCTTCGTGTATCCGGTAGCCCTGATGCTGCTTCCAGGGGTCTTGCTGGCGTAGGCATAGCGTTGAGTCCTAGGGCAGAATTATCTCTCTTAGACTGGATCCCAGTAGATAATCGTTTGTGCGCTGTCCGACTAAACGGGACAGTAAGGACTCGGAAGGATAGGGACACTCGCCGTTGCCTCTTCATTGTATCTGCCTATGCCCTCACTGACTGCAGTGCAGACGAGGTGAAAGACGAGTTTTACAGAAAGCTTTCGGACCTCCTCCAAAAAGCTAGGCGCTCTGATATAATAATAATGGCTGGTGACTTTAATGCTCAAGTAGGTAGACTAGGTGAAAAGGAAAGACATCTAGGTGGATGTTATGGTGTAGCGACTGAGAGAACAGACAATGGCGACCGTCTGTTGCAACTATGCTCAGATAACCGCCTATTCTTAGCAAACACTAACTTTAGGCATAAGGAAAAGCATCTGTTGACCTGGCGACCCCCGAAGTCGTCTCAACGTTGGACGCAACTAGATCACATCGCCATCAGCCACCGATGGAGGGGTTCGACAGAAGACTGTCGCTCGTTCTGGGGCACATATTTGGATTTGTGACACTCCCAGAGCTCGTTTTCTTAGACGACTACTCCAAAAGTTAGTGGAACAACATTAGCAGCTGCAGCCCCATAGCAGCGAGTGATCAACAATTGGTTCACGTGCCACATTAAGCCTCAGGATCCTGCGCCTCATCTTCTCATCTGTTTAGAATCAGGGTTCTCCAACTTCTTGAACAACCATTTGACCGAAACTAACCACACAAAAGTAGAGCTGATCTTAGTGTGGACAGTTTTCTGAAACTGATGAAATGTAATCATATTGTTTATTTACTAAAACTCATATCATGTAATGGTTCCATATAATGATCATGTTTCTTCTAGTTGTTCTCGGGAACAGCTTCGCTTGAAGCACAAACAGGAACATAAAGAAGGATCGCAAAACCACGAAAAGAGCTGTTTGTATGTGGGGTCAAAATATCATCAGTATTACGTGCTAAACAACGATTTTATTCACTCTCGTGAATTGTCCAATGCCTGGATCAGGGACACATCACATATGCCCAAGATGCGATTCAGTGCAGCAATATCAGGAAATTTACACAAGGTTTATGTTTCAGGAGAATCCCGTTATTTTAGTCCATCAAATCGAAAGTAGGAAGTAATGGTTGCTGATGTCTAGCAAAACGTGTAATCCCGATCGCAAAATTCTTTTACATTGATTGAAAGACAACTTTCGCCCACTACGTCACTACTTAAAAACCATTCCCCATTGTAAGTTGATATTGCTTGTACATTGCCTAACAAATTAATTTGTGCAACTCTGGCTAAAACTACAATATCCGTCAAACGCATCTTCGTGATATTATTTAGATGGTAGTAGAATTTACCCTCCATTGCATAAAGGCTTCAGTCTGTTGAAGTGCAGGCAGAGACAACGAAAATACACCGTTTTCTACACTGATTTACTTTTACTTTGATGGAACTTCCGAATCTAAGAGCAAATACAAGACTATTTGAAGGGATCCGATTAATTAGTCCTTCGACAGCAACACCAACCAAATCGGACAAGCGTACCACAAGCTCTTATGGTAAACGCAAATGAAACAAGCCTATACAATTGACAGGTGGAATGTCGGTCTCAAATGAACATCACAGATGTCGATAATAAGATTTTCCAAAGACATACCCAAACCTATTTGTTTCCCAATCTGTATTACTGGGTGAGTGATGACGGAGGCCAGTTTGTTTAAAATGGATAATAATAATCAAGCTCTACCGGCTTTGATTTAGGTAGCCAGGTTGTAGTAGCACTCACTCACACCGAGAGCGTGACTGATATTTTAATAATTTCAACCAATAATTTCCTTTAAGACAAGGGAGTTTGTTAAAAAACACATTATTACATGTGACAGTGATGTTTGCCCTCTAGAGACTGAACAATATAAAAACAACTGTAGTATCGTACCGTACTTATTTTGCACACTCATAAAAAAATGAACCAATAAGAAACCAAATATAGCTAACAAAAACAGCTAGAAAGTCTAAGAGAGGCTTACAGAAGATCCAGAACCTGTTCTCGATTTTATTAAGGAAGTAAGTACACGCAGAGCTTCCTTATTCAGTTGATCGATATCTCTACCACCTAGAAAAATGAGTCAACTTTCTACATTAATCCTACCTGTGTATGGTTTCGGACTATTTTTATTATCTCCAAATATCATAATTGTTGGGAAACCTTGAATTGAAAATCTTTGAGTTGTTGCAGGGTTGTTTTCAGAATTAACCGCACCAACTTTTATAATACCCTATAAATTTGGTAGACAGTTTATTACATCAACTAACCTTAAGCTTGGTAGCAAACAGTTTCCAGTCCGGTGCAGCGTTTTTACTGTGTCCACACCAAGATGCATAGAACATAACAAACCATAATTCGTCGCTGGACGTTACTTTCCCAAAGTTTTGGTCTGTGAGTTCAATAACGTCATCATTGGTATTGAAGAGACAAAGTGCCGGACTTAACAGCAGAAAAAGAACTGCAAAGAGTAACACGACATTTACCAGTTGCAAACGTTTCAACAATTAAAAATTAAAAAATTAACATTTCGTCTATGCATTAAGCTACTTCAGTCAGTAAGCTATAACGTTGAACTACGTACGTACATACATCAATTCAAGTTGCCATACCACATTGGCCCATAGAGGCTATTGTCGCCTCAAGTCACATAGTAGTAGGGGTAGCACAGGTCAACAGGCTCAACCGCTTCACTCCCCATCACTAGTTCAGGCATCAATGGAAGCCAATCCTCAAGCAAAATTTTGCATTTCGGCGGGAGAATCGCATGCCGAACATGATTGCATTGATGCATAACGTGTTCAGAAGACTGCATTTTGTCAGCGTCTTCACCAAACAGAACTTTGCAATGGGAATATTCTAAGTCCAAAAGCGAATCTCCTGGTAAAAGTTTGATTCCGGAAAAGTCAGATGAAAGTGTCGTATCTAAAAGTAAGTCGATGACAAATTTTAACAAGAATGGAGTAAAAGGACAGCCCCGACGGACACCACTTGAAGTAACCAATTATGATGACAGCTCGCCATAAGCTCCCGATTGACCAGCATTGTCAGTTAGTTGCAACGTAGAACTTCCTACGAACGTAAAGAAGTTCAGGTTGCCATGCAACATTCGGATACAGAAAGCTCGATTGGCTTTTGCCAATTTACACCGTTTACTGCGTAGGCGAGATATCCGTTTGCTAACCAAAGGACTGGTATACTGCGCAGCAGTTCGCCACGTTCTCCTATATGGATGCGAAACATGGCCAGTCAGAGTAGAAGATGTTCGTAGGTTACTAGTATTCGATCATAGATGTTTAAGAAGCGTTGCTCATATACCGTGGGACAACCGAGTAAGCAATGCTGTCGTTAGGAAACGGGTGCTAGGTAAGGATGGCAGATCAACAGATGAAGTAAGGAAACTTCATCAGTTGAAGTGGTTGGGACATGTGTTACGTATGCCTAACCACCGACCGCCTCGTCGAGCTATGTTTTGTGGTGTTGGAGCAGGTTGGAAGAAAGCTGGGGCGGCCAGAACAAAACATGGCAGAAATCCATGAAGTCACTGACAAGTGGACTGAGTCATGTTGGTAGATGTAGACTACCTGGTTGGGGTCCGCGAGACGAAAGTCACCAATGGTTAGAGAGCTTGAACGACATGGCTCAAAATCGTTTGCAATGGTGGAAGTGCATCCATTCGTTGTGCTCTCTCAAATCCTAATCTTCTGGAATCGTCAGCACCTCTACCTTTGTCTTTCTAACCTTATCTCACTGAATTATACTTCTTGAATAATATCTTCGAACCCTAGTCTTCTTCATTACCATTAATACCTCTACTATCTTTATCACTATGGGATTTGATTTGAAATTTGCGTCTCTGTGTTAATGTGGTATGGCAATATGAACTTAGGTACATACGTACGAATTTCCAAGTTGCAACTGACTGACTGCCATGCAAGATTATCAAAGATGCTCAATTGTTAGTTAAAATCCCATAGTGGTAGAGATAAAAGTATTAGAGGTTATGGAGAAAACTGAGGTTCGAAGATATTATTCAAAAACTATAACTCAGTGAGATAACTTTAGAAAGAGAAAGAGAAGTGATGAGTCCTGAAGATTAGAATTTCAGAGAACAAGAAGAGTGGATGCATCTGCGCCGCTGCAAACGATTTTAAGACACGTCATTCAAGGTCATGGTTTACTTTCGTCTCGCTAACACCAACCAGGTAGTTTGCATCTACCAACATAACTCAGTCCTAAATAGTGATGTTCGAGTAGAGAACCTGTGTAAGGTAAACATACTTCTTTGCTACATCTTTCAATAAGAGACACAGCCACAGAACCTCATGATCGACTGAGTCGAATTCCGCCTTAAGGTGAGGGAACACGACTATTGTCGGACGCCTATATGCGTGTTCCAGGACGTGTCGTAATGTGAATATGTGGTCTATACAGCCACGTCCACGTCGAAAACCAGCCTGTTTTTCTCTGGTCTGCTCCTCACGAGCTCTAGTTAGACGTCTAAGTTTAATGGAGGCTAACAATTTAGACACTATATTAGCTAGACTGATTCCTCTGCGATTGTCACAAGAGGACTTTTGTTCGGTTTCGTAGACTTAGACAATCCGGTATTGAAACCAGTCAGATGGGATTACACCCAGTTCTCAAATTCTACCTAAGATCTCAGTCAATCTAACTGCTGAAACTTGACCGCCGTCAGTGAAATTCTCATGGGTTAATTTATCAAGACCTACTACTCTTTTTCGCTTCAGCTTTCCTATAGACTTTTCACCCTCATAGAGAGTCGAAGGACCTGCCATTCAGGTCGACTGGAGATTGTTGGTAACCGAAGTGTGGCTGAATGCCAGTTGAACTGCTCTTCGAAGTGTTTTTCGTCCATAGATTTACTCACCTGGAATGAGTGTGAATAGTAGTTCCATCCTTTTCCGAAATAGTCATGCTAACAGTCGGATTCCTCATTCGGGTTTGAACATTTATCTACTTTAACCTATCGCTGCTGTTTGTTCCTTAGTTACGATAGCCCGTTCACTTTCATTAAAAGCCGGAGGACTTGCCGTACAGGTCGTCTTAAAATTTGTCTACGCTTTGAGACATTTCTCCGAATTTTCAACTTAATTAAAGGAAGTCATCGGAACATGGAAACATTAGTGTTTAAACTAGTCTTCCCGTACTTTGGGAAAATTCACAATAGTTTGACCGGTAGGAGTTTGTCACTTGGAAATTCGCTCATTATGAGTATGACTACGAAAATTTAAAAAGTTCTTTGTAATGTTGGAATTTCCCTCGAATTCCACAGTCTGTCCCGTGTTAAATAAATAGGTTGTCAGATCGTGCAAAGAACCTAAAGAATATTTTCAAAAGCACTTATAGAAGCATCAGATGATAAAATCTCAACATGATTATCAGATGACCCGTAAATGCTAATTTCAATCAGCTTGATCAAGACTTCAGTATATCACAAATCAGTAATTTCATAAACAGGAATTAAGACAACACGACTAATGAAAGCCAACTAAATCCCTCGTGTTTATGGGCACCTAATATCTGCTAGAAACATCCAGATGACTGAACAAACTAACCTGTAAAACAATACATTACTGCAAAGTAGAAACTGTCCGCCAAAACACACGTCAAGTTAATATGTAACCATCTGATTGGTCAGCATTTATTCAGCCCAAGGAAACAAACAAACCTTGCTGAACAAGATATCACAAGCTCATTATTGGTTCAAAAGAATCAAATGGTTGTGGACGGAGTAGAATAAGCCTTCCCTTAACGGCCTTTGTATCTAACAGTGGTGGGTCACCCATGTCACAAAATAGGGACAAAAGTATATTTAACGAGCAAAAGAGAAACATAAGTAAACGATAATAAAATACCACCTCGAGTCCTTCACAATAGAATAGACTAATTCTCTATGGAAACCTGAGAATTTACTTCAACCAGCTCACAGTAGTTAGTTCCAGGATCTGACTAATTCTCGTAAGTAGATATGCTTAAACTGCATTTTGCCAAGTTTCATTTCTGATACCTGTTAAAGGCTAGGTGGAAATTTATACTATCAGACTTGCCGAGCATATGTTTCAACGGTATCAGTACAAAGTAAGACTTTAACTGGTAGGGTAGCAAGTCTCTTAGTTAATTTTCAATATGAGACACCTCCAAATGCGAAACAACCAAGTTGTATGTGTAGCTTGTGACAATTCTCTGATGGACTACTTTACGTCTTGAGTTTTTAAAAGTAACCCTTTCACCATTCGCCTCACTTTCGAAACAAACCAGGTCTTACTGTTGTGTCAGTTTATCATCACGGATTCAAACTTCTTTTCAGAGTTTAACAATGTCAGAGAAAAGTACTAACTCAGTCGACACTTGATAGGGAGTGCTATTTATATTGATTAAAAAAGAAAGATTTCACCAGTACTTAACCCTGAGGTACCTCTAAGGAAAGTTCTGTTACGTCAGACAAGGAAGGCTTACTCTAACTATAAGAAGCCGATTATTTAGATATCAATTAAACCAGTCTATAAATGAGTGAAATTAAAAGTTTGTCTGCTTTTTCTTCCCCATTCATCTATAGAGAGTGATGTCATTTACCTCTGACAGAGGAACACGACAATATTACGAGACTAATAACTGAAAAATTACATTGAGTTGTGCTGACAATTATTAACCTGAAACATAGCTTCAAATAATAGATCGTTTACACAAAATGATCACTATTATAATTCAGAATTGTTGACACTGATATAGCTGCACCAACTAGTAACCTGTCCTGCCGACTTTGACCGATCACTATTTACCTATAACTAGTAGATATCTATATAGTTAATTTAACTGTCTTATTTTTCTACCTGCTTCTTGATTTCATATACGTCCATGTTTTTCCTAACTAGTCTTAAGGAAAGTTGGTCTTGATGTGTTATTCATATTAAGGATTGGTCCTTAAAACTTGGTGCATTCTCAATCCAAATTTCACACTTTGCTTCAGGCCGTACGGCCATAATGTTCTCTAAGTGATTCATAGTTTATATGTTATAAATTTTCCAGAGGTCCTCAGCAATTTTAGTGTGACTTCTCATACACCCTTTATATACATAAGAATGATCTGTATATTGGTTTCCACGTTTACTGTTGCGTTTACATATGTGTTTGAAGAGAATTTTTCACCGAGGATATGTGGATAGCTGTTCTTCCGAAAAATGATCATTAGATAATTTTCTTCGTTTTACCGTAATTCAAATGGGCTTCTTAATGTATTCGCTCTTCTGGACAAAGTTTGTATTCAGTAAATTTTCAAAGTTCTTGGGTTTTTTTCCACTGTTAGATGTGAGTGGTACAGTTTTCGATATCCCAGGATATCCAATATTTCTGTTAGTTCCAGGTATTGTCACACCCATGAACATTAATTTTTTTTTCTGTCTCTTTTCCATTGTGAAGGTCAATTCGTCGATTTTGTTGTTGTCTCTCCTATCATACATTACTTCTCATGCTAATGATCGGGTCAATGTCCTTCGTTTGTGTGTTGCTGTTGAAATGTGAACGTGGCGTAAGCTCTAAAGTGATGAGTCAAAAAAAAAATAATTTGATTTTGAAGCTTCGTATAGCTGGGAGAATTTGTATCGCTGTAGAGGATCAGGTATATAGTATTGTTTGATGTCTTTTTACATTTGAAGAAAATAATA